TGCACAATTAAAAGAAGCACTGAGTTACTTTCAGTTCATAGTGTGTCTAAAATGCATTGTAATTATACGATAAAGTAAAACAGGGGTAGGTGGCAGATATTTATAACAACCCGTCTGAAAAATTACAATACCAGCTAACCGATTTATCCTTGTTGGCACTGTGGAACGTTTTCACATGACGTCACGGCGGCCATATTGGTGTCCCAAAACAATGAAACGGCGGCCATCCTGACTGTGGGAGTTGAACTCTTTTCTTATGTAAACAATTTTTTTTGTTTCCACAATTTTGCACAGATCCTGGCCGCGTGAGTGAAAACACTCTATATTAGTTTATGTTTTCTGTTTGTCATGTCGTATCATGATCTTTACTTGGTTTTTTACTTAATTTATTATTCTTCTTCAAAAGAAGATCTTTACGGAAAAAATACTGAAGTTTTTTCTAAACGTCGCATGTAACGTTGAAATCAGTTAAGTAAGCGCGGTTTGAAAGATAATATTTTTCTAAATCACTTGAAGGTTTTAATAATCATCTCGTCAGTAAGTGAGCTTTTAAACACCGTAAATATAATACTATCTTGGGCAAAACATAATATAGATTAAGACAAGTCTTAACTGAGTGCATCTCCCGTTTACATACTTTTAATTTACTTAAAACAATAAACTCTAAACTTATAAACTCTAGGCCATTGCAAAAAATCATTCTCAACTATATCGATTAGTTAAATTTAGGAGGGAGGGGTTGGGTGATTTCAGGAAAAAAATATCCTAAAGTGAAAAAAAAAACGTTCCATTGAACAAATAGACTCTAAATTTGACTTATAAATTTGTTCACAGCACTAGGCTCGGGAACGAATTCTTGCCCCCAAAAAAGGGCAGCAGCGCGTGACGAACCCCTAAGAACGTCTGCGTGGGAGGCTAGTTTTACATGTAGTTCACGAAACTCTTCGGCAGAGGGCAATTTACAAATTGTGATTCTAGATCGATCTTTCTGTGTAAAGGAAAGGCCTATATGCTAAATCGAGCCGATTTTTGTGTTCAACTTGTTTTCTTTGGAAAATCGGGCCAATAAACCGTTGCATGTAAACTAGCCTGAATAATACATCACAAAATCTGAAAGTAACCTTTATTGAAAGGTACATTGTTTGTTTCTTCTGGACTGAAGATATAGAGTAGTTAATAACTTACTTCAAATTTTCCTATAACTCTGCAGTCTACAGAAACTGCGCGCCGTACTAAGTTTGTTGTGCATCCACGACGAAATGTGCGCGAGACACTACAAATCATAAACGTTACAACAATTTAAAATCGAAACATGAATAAAAAAATAATGAATCAAGTGCGACAACAACATATTTTATTTATTCAAGAGAGCAAGTAGTGTGACTGAAATGTTGTTTTGGAAAATCCTTTTAAAACGTAAGGTAACGCCTCTATTTAAAGAAGGTAAATACGCGACAGTTATGAAAAAAACTGATAAACTTGTGGCCCTCTATAAAACATTAAAACAAAATTAATATTAAAATAATTTTACACTATTACTATAAAAAGATAAAAATTAACATTAATAGACGCAATTTAAAAACAAGCAAAAATAGTATTTAGAAAACTTCTTTTTGTTTGTTTGTTTATAAACCGGCTTCGCTTTTGAAATCGGCATCAATTTTCATCTCGCCGAATAGATTTCACCCCTAGAACCTACTTTGTGAGGCCGTGTAGCCAAATGAAACGCGACTCAGCCTGAAACGTCACCGGAAGTAGTTTGCTCACAAAGTGCTTCACTGCGCATGCTTGGCGCTAAACTGCAACGCGTCTTCTTCACGTTCAGAACACGAGGTTGGCACTTGATGCGTTTCCAGAAAACGTGAGTACTTTCTACTGAATTTGAGCTAGAATTAAATTTTCTTTTGCTACCTTATATGCAAAACTGTTTTTCTAAGTCCATGAAAATGTTATTTATTGTAAAAAAAATACCAAACAAACATTTTAATTTGCCTCTTACTGCAGGTCAATTGGTTACCGCTATGATGAATGGACAACACCCAGACCCGCCGAGTTCGACACCAAAGTCGAAAACTGGCAAGTAAGTCCAATTTAGTTCATTAGAAGATTCAATTTCTTGTCCTGCGTGAAAATAAGATTAAGGTGAGTTTAAAAACAAACTAAAACAGACCCTTTCTTTTTTTTCAGGCAGTAATGTGATGTACTGGACAAGGGAGCACGATGTCCTGTTATGCAGAGAGGTTGTTTCCGAGAATCCGTTCAAAACAACAAAGGGTTCGTCACAAAAAAGTGAAATTTGGGATAGAATAGCCAACACTTTGAATACCTGTCCCAGGCCTGTCTTTGCTGTGAATAAAAGGTTCGTAAGGGATCATGTGGGTATTTTAATTCACCGAATCAAAGTGAAATGATGCGGCTAATGCAAGAACAACAACAACAGCAGAAACAGCAGCAACAGCAGCAACAGTAATTCTTGGCGTCACAACAACTGATGTTGAGACAGCAACAAGACCAAACTAAAGCACTGATGAATTTGTTGGACAAACTTGTGAACAAATAGCTACCTAATTCACTTAAAATTCACCATTATTGCTGGTATAGCTGTCGCTTGATTTTGAAAACCAGTTTGTGTATTGTATTAACTATTGTCTTTGTTTTGACAAGAGTCACGACGAACGTTTCCTGTCAGCGATCAATGTTAGTATTTCAACAGTGGCACCGGATTTTTCTTGTGCCGAGGAGCCCGCCTTTTGTTATGTTCGATTATTGCAGTTATCTCATTGGATGGTGGCATATTAGAAAATATTTTTTGTCTAGAATAGTTGAATAATTTTTTTGAAAATTTGCATTCTGTTGCGTAAACTGCAATAAAATTCTGTATTTACAGTCTGCTATAAAAGAAAATAGTGATACTTTATGTGTTCGAAAACAGGTTTTAAAAAACTGCCTAGGATAAAAAGGGCTGGGGAATCTAGGGGAGGGAGTATGTTGAGGCCAAATATTAATTTTACATTTCTTAATTTTAAAATCTCTCTTGTAGGGTTAACAGTACTCTTCACTAAAATCAGTTTAATGATTAAGACACAATCAAGTTGTATTGAAAAAATTGTGAGTTGTATTTCAGTCCCAAGGCTGTGGTCATCAATAACTAAAAAGCAGGATAAGGGGTAGGGGCGGGTGGTAAGTAGGTTGCAGGCATTACAATTTCATGTTATATATTGCATTAGACGCGATATATTTTTCTATGACTTTTCCTCCTTCCCCGTTGTGTTATAATGACCAAAGTGCAAATCTAGGGCTGTATGAGTAATAAGAACGCCATTGGGGCATTTCATTATGTCTGGAATATCACGAACTTCTCCGAGTAAATAACTATCGTTCTTGAAAAACCGAAATTCAGCCTTACACTCATCATCTGTCATAGAATCAAGATCGAAGCGACCATACTTCCAATAAGGAAATTCGAGATTTTCAGAAGAATTTAAATCGTACAACGGGTAAACTCTGTATCATCAGTTCTTCCATCTTGATTGGCAAACAATGAAGCTTCCCTTGCCTCTCTGAATGTTGCCATATATGATGTATAACACCAGCTATAAAACGAAAATGTGTTTAGCGGAGTTTAAAGGATTTGCACAGCTCTGCCTCTGTCGTCGCGTTCGCATCCGCAACTTTGTTTTTCCCGCGCTCGTGACGGCGTTCTCTCCCCGGGCCCTTCTCAGTTTCGGTGTTTTCAAACTGCGTCGCGTTCTGGTTCGTAAACTCCCTATTGTTGAGGGAATCAATTTCGGCGAGTTGAATTTTTCGTGATTTTGATGTCGTTTTCCTTTACTTTGTACTCCTTGATTGAGATCTTTATTGTGCTATTACCGTTCTCTCTGTGTATTTTTTATAGAGATATAACGCTCGGAAGATGTTACAAAATCTATTTCATCACAAGCTCTTATGTCGCTTATTTAGCCCGCCATATTTTACTGCTACCTTGATTACAAAAAATTTTAAACAATAATTCCTTCCCGGGTTCCTAGGGTAACGTCAACTGCCCTTCCTGCATGTTTTATAGAATGATAAAATATAGGTGACGGATTCGACCGGCCGTGTAAGCTGTTATAACAAGACGCGATGGGAGAGTACAGCTCGGCGTCGTGCTTGTGGATTAATTGTTAATACGGAGGAATAGAAAAAAACGATATTTTTCCGCATACCCTTCCATACAAATACCCTTACTTTTCTCCTTTCGTGTAACAGACGTCTTAACTTCTTCATCGCAAGTCTAGCCCGCTAGGTGCATGAGCACGTGGCTGTAATTCAATTCGAGTGTAATTTCTGTCATAAATAAATTGCGCACGACGAGATGTCAGTTCCACTTCCTATATTTCCTCTACAACAACACTTTCCTTACGTACAGTTCACTCCACACCTTCTCCAGCTACGTAACTAACTAAAACTTGCTGAAAATGTACAATCTCGACACCGAGGATAATTCATGTCAAACGCCGCAGCATAAACTAGCAATACGTATCTCCCAATAACCATCGCAAAACTCGGCTTTTTAGTAGCGCCACTCAAGTTAAGCCCTGTCGGGCGGGGTTAGGAACTGGATGGGTAACCCATCGCGAATATTGTCGTGAAGGTCCCTTCTCTGTTCTTTCTTTTCTTCTTCTTCTTTCTTGCCTATTATGTGGTGTTATTTTTAAAAGTGTATTGAAAAGTATACTTAGGATCGGCCGCTGGATTTGGAGGAAAAAAACACAAACACAGCAGTACAGTTCGCGAGAAATTTATTATACTTCGGGCCGTCGTACAGAACTGAAACTTTGATTTGTCGGCGGGGAATTTAACCGTTAAACTAATAAATTTGGGTTTTCCACGGTGTACAACGAATTCCAAGCTAAATTTCAGGGGAAAAAAGTATTGTAAGAGGGACCAGTTACTCCGGGTTTTTGTGCAGGAATTTCATTAACTTGCGCAGGAAGCCATTAACGCCAATGACGTCATAA